TTTTTAATCTTCTTTCATTGTAATTTTCTGATGGGGAGATAAGACTCTTTATCTCCCCCTTTTTTGTACCTAAAGCTTCATAATTCTTAATAAAGTTTCTGTTATTGATAAAAAAAAAATTATGAGTGTCATCGATTTCTTTCACTTCACCTAACTGAGCAATTCTGATCTGAATGATTTGCATTCTCATTGTGAGATACCTGTAGTGATAATGCCAACTTACAGAGCTTTCTAGAATACTATTCTTCACAGAAATACTTTATATAGCCACTGAGTGCTTCATAAATTTTTTAAGAACACATTTTGTGATGGGACTGTAATTAACCATGCCTTATTGAACTCCTACTCCCCCCTCCACCCTCAACATCCTCAACATGCCTATTTTGTTAGCAAGGTTAACCCATTACCAAAAAATGCGCTTTCATGAGCCTGAGGTTATTTAGAAAGTCTTTGTCTTTTGAAAGTTTGCATCTCAATAATCAATCATGAGCAAATGATGCACTTGTATTCCAAAGCACCCACCTTCAAACCATGATATGCACCAATCTTCAGCACTTCTCAATGAGTTCACTAAGAGCTGCAGAAAGTGTTTCTAGTTGTTTGGATCTTCCTCCCTTGAAGTTTGCAATCCTACAAACCTTTGGAGAGCTGTCAAGGAGAGAGGAATTGTAGGCATACTAAGGGAAATCAATACTTTGAGAAATTAAGAAAATGTTAAATATGTGTTGTCATTCCAAGTGTATGTGAAGACCTTGAAGGCCCTCAAAGGAGAACTTTATGTTCATGTTTGGGGTAACTTCTAAATGCATAAAAAAACTTGGATCATTGTACTGCAGTTACTGGAGAAGCTTAGCTTTAGTAGCCATTTATTTATTTATATAGTTTAATTAGTTATAAGGGCTCTATCGTTTTTTACTTGTTAGCTGACCCTATTATCTGTGAAAATGTCTGTAGATATTTCTTGTGTCAAAATATCCTTCATGACACGTAATTCCCTCTTAAATAAATACTATAATACTTTGCCATTGTACTTATCTTTTATATATCCTTTGATTCACAGATGTTATATATGCCTTGTGGAGTATGAGGAAGGGGATAGCATGCGAATATTACCTTGCCATCATGAATTTCATCAGACATGCATAGACAAGTGGCTGAAGGAGATTCACAGGTACAGGCTAGATTGGAACTTGGAATTTATCTACCATTAATTTGATTAAGTTTTTTTTTTTTGAGAAAAGTTAAATATATTGTATTAGCATAAAAAAAGTCAATGATGCTGTACAATGGGTTGTCAGCTGGTTACTTTGGTAGTTGTAGAGGTTTTAGACTCTTAGAAGGAGATCTTTCATCTCCTCTGTAGTAGAGGTCTTCAACAGGAATTTTCAAGGGTAATAGAGTTGGAAATGATTGTTTAGCATGTAGAACATGCATGCTGTATTTGAGGAGCACCTCAAATATCTTTATTGCTTTGAAGTATTAACTTTAGTGGGGAGGGGGGGGGGAATCTGTACAAAAGTTGGTATGTATTTGAGGAGCACCTCAATTCTTTGTTGCTTCAAGACTGGGGCACGTTGGTCAATTTATGGTCTACCAATTAGAATATGAACGTTGTTGAGTTTTCCTCGAGTGTTTGCACAACTCGGTAGCAAGGTTGGCTAAGGAATTTCTTTGTCATGATTTTGTTGCCAACCATACCAACTCCTAATTGCCTGTTCTATTGTACAATTCTGGAGGGTTATTCCAAACTCAACTGATGGAGGATTCTATTGAATTCTGACCTCTGTTTTAAAAGTAGTTTTTTTTTTCTATTTTATTTGTATTTTCTAATTTTATGCTTACAAATACTTACCCGTATATTCCGTCTGGGCTGTAGGGTATGTCCACTTTGTCGTGGTGATGTTTGCAGATCCAACTAAATGCCTTCGTTAAACAAAGAATTGAGGCAAAAAATGACCCATGTGCTGCTCTCGCCATGATTGATGTGATCGTGGGCTTACCTAATGTTCTTTGAAGACCATTACTATTGATGGGTGAACAACTTTCTGTCTCTTTGGAGAGTGATGATTCTATTTGCAGTGCTTTAGAAGTTTAGTCTATTTCTGCCCAAGGCATCGCCATTACATCCCCTTGTTTGCTCTCTCGATGGATAAAAGCAGCCCAGGTAGAAATGAACCGAACAACATCGTACCGCTGATTCATTCACCTTCGGAGCTTAGAGGAGCATGTGATGAGAAGGAAATTCATTGTCATTTTTAAGAAATGAAGTGTCATTCAACCGGCTCTCATTTTATCCAAATGTGTTAGTAACTTTGATTTCCTTTTGGTGTATTTGATTGTCATTCATTTCTTGTTAATGATAAGAAAAGAAAATGTCATTCATGTCATCCTAGATCTCAAGCGAAATGTGGCACCTAACAGGTCATGGTGTGTTTACAGTCTACAGTACAGGCCACCAAATTAAGGGGGTATTCATCAATATGCTTGACTTTGTTCTTATAAAAGAATTGCTGTGTCAGTCATCATTGATGGCTATGACAGCATTTTGATTTCAAAAACGTGTTTTAGGAGTACTCTTCAACTTTAAATGCATATTGATAATTTGATGTTACGAGCTATTTCAGTCTGGATGAAAGGGAAGAGTATCTGGAATTCCAAGTGTTCAGGCATTGATGCATCAAATAAAAATGGTTTTAATTTCAATTCATTCTCTCTTTTTAGTCCTTTAACCAAAGGAGGCTTTAGTTTTATTACTCTAACGGTCTAACCTCGTCCACATTTGGACATAATATTATAATGATATTACAAGCATGTCATGAAAAAATAGGTACTGGCCAAGGGTATGTGTTTGGAATCGTGGATGTGTATTGACTAAACGTATTGTACTTGATTTGTTTGGAAAACCGAAAAAAAACAATTATGAACCTGTTTATTGATACTTAGGTGCCACATCAGCAAAATAGGGAATAAATGTCTACCGGTCGGGGGAAGTGTTAAAATGAAATTTCTCCCAATGGTAGGCATATATATAAATCGAAGTCTACTTTTGCAAATCCCTATGCGTACGAATTTACATAATGGGAGAAATGTTGAAATAAAGCCTGTGTTCCAAACACGGTATATATTTAGTTCTTACAAAGTATACCTTCTAATTCAGTTGGTTCAGGTCCTCTTCCAAATAACCAAAACCAGTCTCAACCATGGATCACATTGGTATATTGGATATTGTATCAGATGTGGATATGACGCACTTTTGAAACTATGAAATTTAGATGAATTGTTTATTATGTAAATTGAGTGGTAGGCAAATAGGTTTATCTTAGAAGAGATGTGGATTCAAGTCCCACTACCACTCCCACCGACTACAGAGGAGAGCATTTAAATTGTTGCGAAAAGAAAAACATGTGCTATGCCCGAGAAAAATGAATTACAGCCTTAGAGTAGTGGGACTGGGAGGGCAGGACTGGGGTGGCCAATGCTTTGTTGTTTTGATAGAAAAATAAGGATAAAAGGAAAGTTGGGGTCTTAACAAATTTACAAAATTTCTTAACTCACATTTTTCTATCAAAACAAATGCAGCCTAATGGGATGAAATCCTAGTTTTTACAGACATGTGAAAGAATGAAGAATGACATTATATGATTCAGTGCTAACATCTGTTTTACATTTTCTTGGAACAGTTAATGAAGTCTATCGTCTTTGCCCGATCCGAGCGGGGAGAGGATATAAGGCCAGCCGTTACGTGGCATGATCTTGTGAGGTTCGGAGTCTGCTGGAAAGCTTCTGGAGTCAATTTCGTGTCACTTCGATTCTTGAGCCCTGAACTGGATTAAGTACCGAGGTGCCTCTATGCCGAGGTGGCTTTGTGCTGAGGTGACCAAACACCCGAGCTCTGAAAACTGCTGACTAGGCCCCTTTTGCTGAATTATCACCCTTCGGGCATATCGTGTCCACGTGACCTTTACTTATTAGGTCGTGACAAATCACCCCTCATCCGTATCAATGGATACAGTTTGATATGCACCAATACAAAAGTGTATTCATGCCTAGTTTGACTAAACTATATATTGATTATTGACTATTTTTTTATTGTTTTTCAACTTTAATAAAACTAAAAAATATAATTATAAAAATTAAAATAAATAATTTAAAATTTAATTTTAAAAAAAATTATAATTTAAAATTATAAAAATAATATATTTTATCTACCTTAAATGATTTATACATTTTATTTGCACATAATTATATGTTAAAAATTAAACATATTATTATTTAAAAAAGAGTTATTATTTATATACAAATACTAAAATAATAAATTTTCCTAAAATATTAATAAAAATTAAAATAGAATGATAATTATTATATGATGTGTGAATGTTCTAGAGTCCCACTACTATTTGTACATTTCTCGTATTTATACTTTATTCCTAAATAATTCAGCTTTTGATTGAATGTTATTAATGTGCTTATATAATTTATATGCATTTCCTTAACATTCCTCGTATTAATACTTTATTCATAAATAATTCAGCTTTTAATTGTTATTAATGTACTTGTATAATTTATATACATTTCCTTAACATGTCCAAGTGCCTTCATATCTTTCATTCCTATCCATTCGTTTTCAAAACACATCCGTATAGAGCAAAACTCTAAAACATTCCCATTACAAGAGACGTGGCGACAACAATAGTATTATTTATTAAGTTACTAACTACTCAGTAATAGAGAAAATGGTTCTCCACGTTTTCATATATGAAGGGGATTTTTTCAAAATTAAAAAAAGACAAAAAATAGAATTTTGAGATCAACATCGTGAACACAGCTTACATGCGCAAAGAATTTTTATAATTATGTGCAGCTAAGGATTATGGAGCATCAAATTTTTCAATCCAATGCACAAATGTCAAACAATCTAGTTATCTACAATTGTCTAGAATTCTACGATTATCTACAATGGAAATCAAGCCAAAATATACATTTTGTTGAGATACTTTACCAGCCCACCTCGTTGAAAACTTGACACCAACCCCAAAAATTCAAAACTATGACTCCAAGAGTGGAGTAGTTGATTGATTCAGGTAATAAATCATTGAGATATTAGAAATTATGTCCAAGGAATTTATCTATTTAACCTTGGTTAACACACCAGACTTGCAAGGTTACCGAACTGCACAGAAACGCACTAAAATCTCATTCAATATATCACAATCTTTAAACTAGAGTCAGCAATTAAGTAAACTGTCTTGCATCAGAGCCCCAATATATGGTTTGAGTTCTACTGGCTGAACAACTCTAATAAAATATTTCCCAAGTAACACTAAAGAGCTAAAAGCAATTCTCTAATTGTGCTGTTGTGAACTTAGTGATATCAAAAGCCTAAACGAGTAATTCCATACATCAATCTCAACTTTTCCACCTTGGCAAATCAGGAAGTACTAGATGCTGAGCAATAAACGATACAAAGCAGTGCAGTTAAAACCCCTTCACCGTCTTTAAACTTTAAGGATAAACCTGGCCAGCAAAGCAAATAATCAGCATTTTTTTTTTGTTTTTGATCAGCAGCAAATAACTGGATATTTGAAGAATGAATTTAATAAACAAACTGGCAAGTGGGGCAACTGCTTAAAAGCCTGTTTACAGTATATAAATAGCGATAATTAAGAAAGTTGAGCATGACCAACTTATCCTCAGTAATATATAACTTTTATTTCATCAATAGAAACAAATGCAGATGTTTTCAGCACCCCTGGAACATACACGGACAAACACTGGCACACACAAACACAAATAATGTTTATCTAATATGTTCCCAAAAGGTACTTTATTTTCCGTCTTGTTGGCCTTAATTAGTAATTAACCTTTAGAAACCCCTAGCTTTTTCATCCTCCAACAAGCAACCACAAAAATAAATTTGGCCCAACCAGCCATCTCTAGCCCCATAAATTTTACCCTGTGGTAATCCATATCAAAAAGCAGGCTGTTCCTTATCCTATCGGCAGAGACTGCATCAGTCTGACTGGTTCCTGAGTCTCTCCTACAATTCAATGGTGAATTTCAATCCTCTACGCATGGGATACTTGTACATGACAAGAATATCAATTAGCCTTTATTTTTTTCATCTATATATAAGATGGCTTTTGCCCTCATCATAACACCATACCTAGAATCTCCTGGTCTAAAAGCACAACTCATCAAATAGGTAGCCATCCATTCCACGTACTCTCATGCAAAGCCAAAGAATAAAAGCCAGTTTAACCAAACAATTGCAAACTGAATACCACCTTGTACCCACTGATAAAACAGTTTGTTTTCCTTTTTTTTTTGATAATTAGTTTGTTTTCCATATTTCCACCAATTGCTAGAATGAATAGACTTATTACTTGGGGAAAATCTCAGTCTGGCAAGCATGGGAACGCAGGTTTGAACCTGAGAGCAGCCACTTCATACAAAAAATGCCAGAGGTTAGGTACATACCCAAGAAGACCCTGGAGGCTCAGAAATGAGTAATGCCATTTTAGGTTTTTCGCTAGAAGAAGTAGACTTTGATATTGTTCTCCATAACGACAATAGATTCATGCCTTTAGACAGCAACTTAGAACTTAAAACAAACAACCATTTAACAGGAATCCATGTATCTTGGGGCTCAGATGTTTTATCATCACCATATCATTATCATTATTTTTTTTTTTATAGAAACCAAGAGGGGCTACACAAAACGGGGGGTAGCGCGTCCCCATAAATCATTATCATTATGCCACTAATTTCAAATGAGTCTCAAGAGACTTAGTAGTGCCTAATTTCATAGACAGCGTAAGAATAGCCTCTTGGAACTCGGATGTTTTAGCCTTTGGCAGACATACAAGGTTTCATAGACAGAAAGTAATCACAGCATCACACATTGGAAAACATAGACTAATGACCAAGTAGTTTCCTTGGGCATAACTTGCTCACATGAAGACAAAAAAGGTTCCATAGACAGAGTAATTACAGAATCATACATTGGAAAACATAGACCAATGCCCAAGTAGTTTCCTTGGGCATAACTTGCTCACATGAACAGAGTCACAATGCTCCCCATCTCCTTTTTTACTTCTTCCTGTTAATCATATGCAGTTATTTCTGTTTACAATTTTTTAACAGAATATACGATGAGTATGTTTGATATTTTTTATTGCCTTGTCTTTGTCTTGAAAAACAAATCATTGCAGTCCTCTCATCTGTCCCTTTCAATTGTTTGCTATTTAGATAACTATTGGTTGATTGTCAATTTTTTTTTTATCAATATTGGTTGATTGTCAATTAATCAATAATTGATTATTACTGAATGTCTGCAGCCACCATTGTAGGGACATTGTAGTCTCCTTTGTCCTGATCACCCTCTTCCCTACAAGTACTTTTTTTCCTGATAATCTGCAGTCTCCTTGTATTGAGGAAATCATGATACCTGTTCACATGAACGGAGTTGCAGAGTTTCCCAACCTTACTTTTTTGGTTAATTTTTTGCAGTTATTTCTGTTTTGCAATATTTTAACAGAATATAAGATGAATATGTTTGATATTTTGATTGCTTTATTTTTCTGCCTTGTAAACTTTTTCTTTGCATTCCTCTCTTTTTCTCTTTCATTATTTGTTGTTTAGATAACTATTGGTTAATTGTTAATTAACTGAATGATTGTTTGTTAGCAGTTGTTTGTGTTTGCTAGTTGTATATTTTAGATTTATCAACTATATATTAATATAAACCAATTTGTGCTTGAGTTTAGATCCTTGAATAGGCATTGAATTTCTCAACTTGATCGTTCAATATAATTTTTACTAGTGTTTGAATATAAAATTTACTATATTAAGTTCCTTTCTATTTTTTAAAATGTGCTGCCTCTGGGGACCCTTGTACTTTAATTAAAACTTTCGCTTTTGAGACACTGAAGAAGATTTGATTTCATGCAACGAGTGATTATCTCCAAACCCTGAACCATTATGGTAGTATTATATATAAAGAGCATCTAATGTATTTGGGCATGGAGCTATTTTAATATCCCCCCCCCCATTATCTTTGCAACATGACTTTATTTTGGTAACTGAGTACTTTCATCCTTTGACATTGCCTTGTAATCTAGTCACCTAAAGTGACACCATAGCAACTTCAATTTATATGAAACAACCCTCACAATTTATTTTTTTTCAGATTCAAAGTTGCAAACAACAATAATCATTATTTAGCTTCTTCATAGTTCATGTTTTTATGTGCTACTACACACTTCCAAACTTGTACAGCTAAAGAAATTATGAGAAATGGTAATCTCTGTATGCAAAATAGTAGTTCAAACAAGTTTCCGCAGGCACGCAGGAGTTTAAATGATTAACTAGTTGAATTATTTAATTCTGATTCTTCAGAAACAACGAAATACCATGCCACGTAAATGCCTAAAGGACAGGAAAAAATGGGGAGCGGGAAAACAAATTTTAAGGAGCATATGGAAAGATGGATTATTGGAAGACATAAGGTTCAATCCAAATTAACATTTCAGCACTACGCAGGAAGAATTGAACTAAGGTCTAGGATCATGTTGCAGTCCCAAACAGTCAAACTAATGAGCAAAAAGCAACTACAAGTCCATGAGCAAAGGACTATTGGAATTAACCTGCAATTGTTCAAAGAGTGACCCATTAGGTATAAACGCCTCTTAACCAAGCCCCACCCCACACCCAAAGGGGAAAATGCATCTAAAATTGGAGTGAAACATACCAATTCATTATTGCTGTTGTTGATTCTGTTGCTGCTGAGGATTTGGTGGTGGCGGCATACCAGGGCGAGGTGGGCCGAAGACAGGAACTCCACCTGGTGGAGGAGGCATCCCAGGACGAGGCGGCGGTGGTGCAGGCATTCCCGGTCTTGGTGGAGGTGGTGGTCCTCTCATCATTTGTGGTGGCGGCAGCATCGGCCGCTGCCCAAACTGTGGTGGAGGTACAGAGAATGGACCAGGGGGTGCTCCACCTGGCCTTGCAGCAGCAAATTGAGGAGGCGGTCCCCGTGCCATTGGTGGAGGCTGCCCGGGGAACCCAGGCAACTGCCCAGGAGGGCGAGCAACCGGTCCCTGCGGATAAGTAATAGGCGGTGCAGATAACTGCGGTACAGGCGGCCGTGATATCTGAGGTTGCATCATACCAGGAGCAGGCCCACCAACACCACGAACAGGCCCAGCAAGACCAGGCTGTGCCTGAACAAGAGGCGCCGTCGGAATTCCCCTCCCCGCGGCGCGGCCAATTCCTGGACCCGCCATTGCAGCCGCACCAGAAGCTTTGGCACGATTTTCATCAGGCGGTGGTGGCCCTTCGACGGTCATGGAGACAACCTCTTCACCCCGGAGAAGAACAAGACCTAGGGTTCTCCGATCTTCACGTTCTTCATTCTTCTTCCCTTTTGCGGGTGGGAGCTTGCGGAACTCCTCACAGTCGCCGAGAACGAGATTCATGTGGCGATCGAAGGCCATGAACTTCCCGACAAGCTGGCGACCGTCTTGGATCGTCACGCGCATCCTGTAGTTGATGTACTGAAGCATCTTTGAACTCTTGGACATCGACATTGTGGCTCGATTTGGTTTTTCCCCTTCTGCTTCTTCACCCTCAGTCTTCTGTCTCTCTTGAAGTTGCAGAAGCTACGGTTTAGAAAGAAAAACTAGGGTTTTTGCGATGAAGGTAAAGTTGAAGTTCCAAAAATGGAGGAGAAAAGAGGCGGGAAAGTGATCTAGGGTTTTACGTTACAGTGAGGCTGAAAGGTCTCCTGCTACAACGGACCAGACTTCTCCCGAGAGTGCGAAAGACGAGAGGGGTTTCATTGGTTATAGAGGGCCCCTGGACGGTTGGACCTTGTTGCAGTTCGACAGGACTGGCCGGCCCGGAATCAAGTTTTGGTGGCAAGTGGGTGGATTGGGTTGGGTAAGCCGTAATGGTTGAATACCAACATGCATGCATGCATATTAACCCTTAACTATCTTTGCCCATTCTGATCTATCTATAAATATAAAAATGGGTTGGGACGGTTTATATATTAGAAATAATAATTTTTAAGAGAAACATTTCTCTCAAGGTTGTTACATTGGTAGAAATGGGTCGGATTGACCTGTATACTCGAAAATAACAAATTCTTTAGAGGAACATCTCTCAAGAATGCCACATGGCATAAATGGGTCGGAGCAACCTGTATACCCGAAAATAACAATTTTTGAGAAAATAATCTCTCTCAAGGATGCCACATGAAAATAACTAGGTCGGGTAGACCTGTATACCCAAAAAGAACATTTTTGAGAAAATCATCTCTCTTAAGACTGTCAAGTGACAGAAACGGGTTGGGTTGACTCGTATATCCAGAAAAATATTTTTGAGATCTATCAAGACTACCATGTGACAAAAACAAGTTAGGTGAACCCGTATACCCGAAAATGCAAAAAATGTAGATAAATGCAAAAAATAGAAAAACATTGCAGAAAATGCAAAAAAAAAAACCAAAAATTGCAGAAATTTCAGAAAAAATATAAAAAAATACCAGAAAATTACGAAATGCAGAAAAATACCACATAATTGCAGAAAATGCAAAACTTTTGCAGAAAAATTCAGAAAAAAATGAAAAAAATACAAAAAAATGGAGAAAATGTAGAAAAATACCAGAAATTTTCAGAAATGTAAAAAAGGCTAGAAATTTTCAAAAAAAAAGCAGAAAAAATACCAAAAAATTCAAAAAAAAGATGCAAAAAATAGCAAAAAATGCAAAAATGTAAAAAAAATGCATAAATTTTAGAAAAGTTCTTTTGTAAAAGTACTTTATAAAAGTATTTCTATAAAAGTACTTCCATAAAAGTGCTTTCATAACAGTACTTTCATAAAAGTGCCTTTGTAAAAGTACTTTTATAAAAGTGCTTTTATGGTTTCATAAAAGTACTTTCGAAAAATGATTTCGTGTAAAAGTGTTTTTGTAAAAGTATTTTTCATAAAAGTACTTTTATAAAAGTGCTTTCATGTAAAAGTACTTTTATAAAAGTGTTTTCGTGTAAAAGTGCTTTCGTAAAAATTCTTTTTATAAAATTACTTTATAAAATTGCTTTTGTAAAAGTGTCTTTGTGTAAAATTGCATGTTAACATGAAAATTAATAAAATCTATTTATTTCTTTTAATCACGAAATGAAATGTGGCATGGTGGTTTATAATTATAATGAGATGTGGACGCACTAAGAGGCCTGAGTTTGAGTCACTAGCCTTAATGCTTTTGAACGGGGGTGCAAAATATGGGGCGCTGGTGTAAAAGTATGGAGTGCAAATGCTTTTGATTGCAAATTTTGGTTTGTTTTGGTTTCATCTAGTGTCGTAACAACATATCTCTCTCTAATCTAGAAAGGGCCTATCAAAACCAACTTAACCAAATTTTAAAGAGGGGAAAGCTTATTAGGCTCAAAAAGCCATAATTTATTGGGATTAACTTAGGAGATAGGAATATTAGTTTTTTCCACACTGTGGCCACAATTAGAAAGGCAATAAATCGAATTATCTCAGTTAAGAATGATCAAGTTAGAATTGAGGATCAAGAAGAGATTCCGGATTTTATTAGAGAAAAATTCTATCAAAGATTCCAAACAGAAGGAACAAAGGGAATTGAGGAATTTTTAAAGGAAATTAGACTTTAAATCATTGAAGATCAAAATAAAGAAATTGTGAGAGAGGTTACTGAAAAGGAAATTTATGATGCTCTCCAAAGAATTAAGGACTTAAAAGCTTCGGGCTCAGATGGTTTAAATGTTCTTTTTTTTTTTTTTTAAATTTAGAGCATTATCAAAGGTTTGGTCAATCAAGTAGTCAAAGCTTTCTTTCATTCAGGGAAAACAAATCATATTCTTAACAAAACCTTTCTGGCTCCTATCCCAAAAAATGGACCAATAAGCTTGTGCAATGTCATTTATAAAATTATTTCAAAAAATCTGATAAATAGAATAAAACCCTTCCTCAATAAAATTATTCTACATATCAAAGTGCTTTTATCCCTAATAGACAAATTAATGACAATATTCTTGTTGTTCATGAGATGATTCGTACCATGAGAAGGAGAAAAGGAAAATCAGGTATGTTGGCATGCAAGGTTGATATAGAGAAGGCTTATGATATATAATTGAATGGACCTTCATAGAAAAGGTTCTAACAAAGTTTGGGTTTCACAATAAATGGATAGACTGGGTAATGGAATGCATTAGATCAGTGTCTTACCAAGTCCTAATTAATGGCAGCCCAACAAGAGAATTTTCCCTTACTAGGGGGATTAGGCAAGGCGATCCCCTATCCCCTTACATTTTTGTCCTCTATGTTGAACCTCTTGTGAGGAAACTTGAGAATGAATCAATAATTGGTGATAGCGACATCATGTATAAAGCAGCCAAAGGAAGCCCCAAAGTGCCAATCCTACAATTTGCAGATCATTGTCTTCTTATCTTTGCTAAAACAACTATTTCAGCATGCCTGAAGATTAAAGAAGTTCTTTCTAATTATGCTCTTGCTTCCGAAAATTGCCCAAATTTTACCAAGTCAACTATCCAATTGTCAAAAAATACCCCAAGAAGGTTCCAGAAGATTCTGGCAAAAATTTTATGGATCCCTATCCAAATGAGTCTTGATACTTATTTGGGTGCTCCGGTGATAAATGGTCGAGTTACAAAGAAAACTTTTGAAAATTTAAGAGAAAAAGTTGCGGGGTGGAAAAGAAATTCCCTTTCTATGGTTGGTGAGATGACTCTTCTCAATGCTTCTACCAATATGATGTCGCAATTTCTCATGAGATTCTTTAAACTGCCTCAAAATACTACTGAGGATATTGATAAACACCAAAGAAATTTCTTATGGGCAAAGTCAAATGACAATAGACCCCTCCACCTGATTGATTGGAAGAAGGCACCTGCACCCCAAAATGTTGGGGTGGGGTTAAAAAATCTCCATTGGGTTAACGAAGCGAATCTAGCAAAACTGGGATGAAAAATCCTTAAAGAGAGACAATCTTTGGGTTAGAGTTGTCAAAGGCAAATATCTGCAAAATGATCATTTTTGAGATGTGAAAGAAAAAAAAAAAGAATATCTCCTAGGCATGGGCATGGGCATGGGCATGGCAAGGTATCCTCAAATCCAGAGATCTCAAAAAAGGTATAGGATGGGAACATGGAAATGAAAGATCAATCAAATTCTAGAAAGATAGGTGGGCTGAGGATATGGATAAAGAAATGATTAATGATACTGAGCTTTTAGTAAGTGAGGTTATGGATGAAGAAATGAATGTTTGGAGGGAGAGTAAAATTAGGTCTCTGCAAAAATTTTCCTTAGAAACAAAGGTTTTAATATTGATGGAGCTTGTAGTTTTTGTGGGGAAGATGAAGACATGGATAATATTTTTAAAAGATGTGAAATGGCCACTCAAATTTGGAGTTTGATGCCTTCTTCCTTTGTTAATCCAAATGATGTTGACTCATCTCTTGTAGAGTGGTGGGCTAAAGTGAGGGATAATGATTTAAGTGGGGTTATTAAATACAAAGAGAAATGTGTATTTATCGAAGAATCAAAACCAAAAAAAAAAAAATCAATAATACCAGTACCCTCCCTCAGGTGACTATGGAGAAAGCATTAAATGCTCATAAGGAATATGATAACTCTCAAAAAGATTCACATCCTGAGAAACATAAATCATGGAAGCTCGTTGCTTGAAAGGCTCCAAAATTTAGCACTATAAAAATTAATTTTGATGTTTCTCGTTCTAGTGAAAGAGATGCTCCATTGCAGTTATTGCAAGGAATCACAATGGAGAGATGGTGGACTTCAAAGCATACACTTTAGGGGACACTACCATCGGTATGGCAGAGGCGTGGGCTGCTTGGGAGGTGGCGAATTTCTCCAACCCCATCATCATAGAGGGTGACTCAAAGTTAGTTATCTCTTGCCTCAATCTCATCATCTACAATCCACCGTGGCGCCTGAGGAACATTGTTCGAGAATGTTTGGAATTGAGGAAGCGGCTGAACGAGGACTTTCATTATAAGCATGTTCATAGGGAGGCTAATCTTGTTAGCAAATGCGGCTTTATCATTGGCTCATGGGTGGGTGGACTTTATTCTTAGTAATATTCCCCATGATTTAGTCTGAGGGAGAGTCGAAGAAATCCTAAAAATCCCTTTATGTTGGATAGAGGTGGAAGACAAAATTGGCTTATGACAACAAACAATGAAATGCTCCTACTATTTGGCTCTATTCTTGAAATAACAACAAACAACTGCTACTAGCAGCACAAGACTGATGTTGCAAACAGTGTGACAAATTTTGAGTGTTGAAAGTTCATCCCAAAATCAAACACTTCATATCAAAATGTTGTCATAAAGCAACTGCTGCAACTTAGAGCATTACACTAGTTAAAGAAGAAAATGTCTAGTTACTTAAATTACTAAGACTGCCCAAGATGTGAAGACTAGCCAGAGACCTCAGAGCACCTCCACCATTGTCATTGGGCAAGAAATATTTGGTTTGGGATCTTGAAGCTGGTTCACGTGGGCCGGGATGGGCCACGGGGTTGAGGCCCATGGGCCAGCCAGTGGCATAGCCCACATTATTCATATCGGCCACAGGCCATGCGAGTAGGGGTGTCAATCGATTGGTTTTGGATCGGATCCAATCCGATCCAAACCTTACCAAACCAGCTTTGGACGGTCCATTGTAATTATTGGATTGGGCTAAACTAAAATAAATTGGTCCATATTCTTATTGGTTTGAAGTGGACCTAAACCAAATTTCCAATAATAAGGCCAAACCCTTGTCCA